ACTGAATTTTTTCTCTATATCCCACCACTTTCTTCAGGCTTGTAGGGTTTCCTCTGATAGGTCTGCTGTGAATCCTGTGAATCTAAAGAGTGCTCCTTTGTATGTATTTCTTTCTTTGACTTTGCTGCTTGTAGTAGTGTGTCTTTCTCCACAGCATCAATCGTTCTGACTATGATATGACTTGGAATGTTTTTATTAGGGTCTCTTTTAGCTGCCACCCTTCTGGCTCCTTGGATATAGATGTCTGCATTCTTTAACTCTGGGAACTTTTCAGCAATGATTTCTTTGACTGTGGCTTTTTCATTGGGGTTGCCTCCCTGTTTTTCTGGTACTCCGATGATTCTAATGTTGTTTCTCTTGGCATCATCTGCTAGGTCTCTGATTCTCCTTAGAGCTATTTTGAGTTTTTTTCCCATTGTTTTTTGTTCCCTATATGATTTCTGATGCTCATCTTCAAGCTCACTGATCCTGTCTTCAGCTGAATTCATTCTACTACTGAGGGCACCCACTGAGTTTTTAATTTCGTCTACAGGAATCCTTTATTTGTGACACTTCTTTTTGTAGCTTTTTTATTTCTGCTCTCATTTCTTCCTGTATTTTCTCGACTATACATTCCACTTTTTCTTTCATTTCTTCCTTTAATTTTCTGGATATCTCTCCCATTGATTCTTTGAGTAGTTCCTTGAACATCCTCAGCATTTCATCTCGGAATTCTTTACTGGAGAGAACATATTTGTGGATAACCCCAGTTGAGAATTCGGGACTCATTTCTTCATCCTCTCCATATAGTGGATATTTGCGATGCTTCTTCATGCTGTTGTGGTTGTCTAGAGGTAAAACCTTGAAATTCACTAGCACTGTTCCCTCTTATCGTGGGAAATGATTCTGAATAAAGTCGGTTGATGGTGATCACCCTTCTCCCTTTCTACAGTCTGACCTTCCTCTCAGGCATTATTCTGTAGCTTATGACGGGCATCTAGTGAAGTGTTGGAGCAGGTGCTCTTTAATATTGGGCTTGTACAGCTTCTTGCGTACTGGTCTTTTGTTAGAATTGGAGTATGCCAATGGATTATTGTTGTGCTATAGTTGAGGCAGTCAGGATTTTTTCCACGGAATTAGGTGATAAAGGATGGGATGTGAGTCAGAGTGCTGAGATTGGGAAATGTAACTGCTGCCCGCCTAGGAGAAGGCCACGCCCACTTTTGAGAAGGCCATGCCCCTATGTGGAAGCCACTTCCCCAGCTGGTCCCAGGGAAGGCTGACCTAGGGATCCGCAGAGGTAGGAGTGCCCTGAAGGGGTGGGTAGGAGGTCCAGCCTAACTCGGGCAGGTGTTCCCCAAAGTCTCCTCTGGCTGCCCGGGGTGGGGGCCCAGCACACATGGGGTGCTCCCCGGCTCCCTGAAGAGCCTGCAGAGGAGCCAGATGACCATTTTTATGATCACGCTGACTCAGGTGTGATTTCAATTCTCTATTTTTTTTCCCTTTGGGACATTCACATCTCTTGCGTGACAGTTGGTGAGATGAGAAAAATTCAGTGAAAATACTGAAAGCACGTCAATCTGAGGACTTTATTCTCACTTTTGCTGTCAACTACAGTTGCGTACAGAGAGGTCCTTACCTTTCTGAGTCCCTAACATGCACATACATACATGCTTTTATGTTTTAAAATCAAGGAATAGTGGGAAAGAGGTCAGAGAGGGAGGACACAGGGAGCCACTTGCCCTGTGTTCTGCCAATCCTGATTGGATCCCTGGAACCACACAGGGTCACCCCACCCTCACCCACTCTGGATAGCAGAAGCAATCTCTGAGCACAGATTAAGCCCTGAGCACCACTGGGTATGGCCCAAAAAAACAAAACAAAAATAAAATAAATAAGTGGGAAAATAGTAAGTCTGGATAATAAAAGTAAGGTGATCAAGTAATAATTATAAATTAATAAAGGTAAAATGCCAATGATTCATGCATATAATAATGCACGATGATATGATTCATTCATAGAAACTAGAAAAACATGTATATACAGTCAAGATAATTAAAGAGAATACTTCTTGACAATCAGGCAAAACAATCTTTACCAACATAGTTACTAATTCCTGAATTCATCTCTATTCACAACCTTTTTCTGATAAATCTAACATCACAATTTAAAACTGAGTTTCACTTGTGAATTTTAGTTCTGTCCCCCAAAATTTGAATTTTCTCATCCAAAAGGCTGTAATGTAATTAACCAATATTACGTGAGCTAAGATTCTTATTCACATAAAATTCCTGCTACAAATATTTGTCCCCTAAAGATACGCCAATTGATTCTTACCAGCCTCTCTGCCAAACCCAAATATCAATGCTCTAAGCATTGAATATTCAGCACTAAAATGTCATGGGCTTCGATATAAGGTACAGAGCATGTTACCATTTTACTAATTAAATTGTCAACTGTTAAAACTGGAACTGTTAGCATACCCTTTCTATACATCACTGGAAATACAAAAATATTCTTTTTTTTTTTTTTTTTTTTTGCTTTTTGGGTCACACCCAGCAATGCTCAGAGGTTACTCCTGGCTCATGCACTCAGGAATGACTCCTGGCAGTGCTCCGGGGACCATATGGGATGCTGGGAATCAAACCTGGGTCGGCCATGTTGGCTGCGTGCAAGGCAAACACCCCACCCGCTGTGCTATTGCTCCAGCCCCCAGAAATATTCTTTAAACAAGCAACTATATACAATCAAAACAACAACAGAAGTTAGGGGTTTGTTTTCTCAAAAAGGAAACTATAAATGAATTTTAATTTTATAATGATGCTATACCAATGAATCTAAGTATATGGCAGGATATAAATAATAAATATATGTAATTAAAATGTGTGTTAGACAAATAAATTTAAGATTCGAAGTGACAGGATAGCAGGTAGGGCATTTGCCTTGCATGCAGCTGACCCGGATACAATTCCTGGCATTTCATATGGTCCCTCAAGCACTGCAAAGAGTAATTCCTGAGTGTAGAACCAGGCCATCACTGGGTGTGACCCAAAAAGAAAAAAAAATTTAATCTGAACAATTTCAGAAAGAAAAAAATTCTAGTGCTCTCCAGGCTTTGCTTCTCATTTATAATATTTGTTCTCCATGTTCTAATAAACCAAAGTAAATTTTTTTAAAAATCTCACTAAGTTGTTATAAAATAAATCATTCTCATCTTGCTGTACTTGGCACATTAGAATAATAAAAAAAATTGATAGAAACACAGATTCTCAAACTTCAGCAGAAAGATAAAATATGCTTAAGTATCAAAATAATAAGAGTTCAGACTTTTTCAATTTTCTTCTATTTTTAAAGACTCTATATTTTAGATATTTTAGCAATTGTTTTGTAAATATGTACATAAAAGAGAAATGGGATAAAAGAGGGGTTTGTTCTACATAAAAGAGAAAATAATTAGAATCATTCATTAAAAATTTTTCTAATAAAGATTTTTAAAAGAAATATCTCATTGATTCAATTAAAATGTTAGCAGCTTGATCTTAGAAAAAGAAATCTGATTATTTATTAATATAGTTTATCATTTTTCACTTGATATTGCCACACCTTTTAAAAGAGACCAAACAGAAATATGTTTTAGCATTTCTGGTATCATCTTTCATCACAAAAATGTATATAGAAGTCACCAAACATATAAGAAGCTACTATATCAAAGTCAAGTAAAAAGTTGATAATTCTCAGGGTATAATTTGACTTGAAAGAGAAAAACAAACTAAAAGTTCGAAAAAAATTCTAGAATTCCTCATGATACTCTTTTTCATTTTATCTTTTATTCTTGTTTCATAAACCATAAACATCACCAGTTTCCATAAACATCACCAGGTTTACTTTTAATAATTAATCAAACTCAGGATGTTCAAAAGGTCAAAATCTGAATAACCAAATTTGTTGAAATATCCAACATATTAGAAAGCTTGACTGTCAGAAAATTAGTGTCATTTCTTTGAAACCATACTGGACTATGTTAACGCTTTGGACCTCCCTGTCTGTGAAACACACACGTGGAAACGCCAAGTCACAGTGAACTGCTTATAAGCACAAGCAGGCCAGCAGGAACCTATGAAGTCGGTGGGGTCTTGTTAGCTTGTAAACTGCTGGCTAGGAAGTGAAGAAATCAGCATGTGAGGCGCAACTGAATGGAGCAGGACAGCTTCACAGGAGTGAGGCCTGGCGTTCAAGCCCAGCACTGCTTTAAGGCCCAGAGCATCATCAAAAGTGGCTCAGGTGTCCCCCAAGCACCACCAAAATGGTCCTGGTGGTCTCCAAGCACTGCCATGACCTTCAGCAGCACAACTACCAGGTACAGACCCCTCAACTAACAAAAAAACATGGGAGAGTAAGCGAGAGAGAGAGAGAGAAAGAGAGAGAGAGAGAGACAGAGACAGACAGAGACAGACAGATAGCAAACAGTCCAAAGGGCTGGGGCACAGGTTCTTCTCCAGCACACATGGTCCTCCAAGCACCTCCAGGAGTGATTCCCCAGCAGTAAGCAGGGAGTCATCCCTGAGCACCACTGGGTGTGACTCAAAAAAAAAAAACAGGTGGGGAACGGGGAATGAAACCAGTAAAGGGCTATGAATCAAAAGTGTACATCATGAAAATATTTATAAGCAAAACCTTCAGATAGGATGTTAAGATTGGGACCACAGCACATGAAGGCTAAAGAAAGCACCCTCTCAATGACGCATTCAATATTTCTAAAATCTTAAGATTGTATCTATTTTTAAACAAAATAAAGTTACCTCTCTTATGGCCAAAGACAGAGTGTATAGGAGTAAGACATCTGTCTGGCATGTGGCCACACAAACCACACTCCAGCTCGGAATTCCCAGCACCACCTGTGGTCCCCTGAGCACTGCCACAGCTCACTCCTGTGCACAGAGTCAGGACTATGCCTCGAGCACCACAGGTGTAGCCCCTACAACCAAATACAAAAATGCATAAATAAGACACATTTACTCTACCTTTCTCTGCTGCTTTTTGAAGGGCTTCTTCAATTCGGGATAACTCTTTTTGCTTAATGTCTTGCAAGGATTTTTCTTCTTTCTCAGGATCATATTTAATACCTAAGAAGAATATATAGTCAATTCACATGTAAAGAGATGAAACTAATAAAAAATAGGAAAATTCAGCTTATTGTGACTGTGTGTATGTTTGTGTCCGTGTAGTGTAACGCAATTCTTGGTAAGCCAAAAGCCAGCAGCAATTTGAATTACAAAAGTTTAAACATAAATAATTTTAACTTACTTTCAGAGCTTATATAAAAGAGGGAGAGAAGAAAAGTAATTGAAAGAAAAGTAGGGGGTGAAGAGAAAGTTCAGTGGGCTGAGCACAGGTTTTGTATGCAGGGAGCCCAGGTTCAATCCCCAGCACCCCACAGTCCCCCGAGGAGTGACCCTGAAGCACAGTCAGGAGTACCCAAGCACTGCAATGCACGCACGTGGTGAAAAACAAATACAAAATGAAAAAGAAAAGAAGGGATGATCATAAAAACAAAGCAGGTGATGCAAATGCAATGGGGAGAAGGAGAGGGAAAGCAAAAAATGTGTCCAAATAGGCCTAGTTCTCATCTCTGAGGGGTACTGTTTTGAGAAACTATCTGAAAAATGTAACCTCTAATACTCATATTAATAAAGATATGTTCATAAAATAACTAAGAAGCACATAACAACAAATCACAAAATCCATCTACCCTTATTATCTAGTAAGCTTATTCCTGGTAAAGTGTGCGAAAGAAGTGGCAGGAAAGAATAAGCAAGGTAGCGGGACAGTGTTCTGACAGCAGAAGTCAGCGGGCAGCCAGTGGGCAGTCTCAGAACTCTCACTATCAGTGGCAATGATCAAATACACTGAAGCACATAATTAAACAAAGAAATAGCTCCTGGGCTGGAGAGACAGTACAGCAGGTAGGGCACTTTGCCTTGCACACGGCGGGCCCGGGTTCCAGCCCAGTATCCCGTATGGTCCCCCGAGCCCCACCAGGAGTGATCCCTGAGCGTAGCAGGGTGTGACCCAAACATAAAAAAGAAAAAAGCTCCATCTTGCATGTACAATGTAAGAAATGTTACATCAACTTAAGCATGCATATGATTAAAATGATAAAGCAAAAATATGAACATTAAAACTATGCTTAAGATACTAAACCCAGGTAACAACTTAATTTCACCATGAGCCCATGAATGTTTATAACACAAAATAACATACTTGCTCCAGGGACAACAAGCAGGTATAAACCCTCCAGAGTGGCAACAACGGCTTCTCCATAGAGGTTCTTCCAAGGAATCTTCAGCGTTAACTTATCTACAGCAACAGAATTTGAACAGTTCAAGAAGATACACTTCCTCATCGTCCATGTAAAAAAAAAAAAAACCCTTCATGTGCATGGTAAGTCTGCTACTTAAACAAAAACAGCTCCTAACTCTGGAGCTCACAAAATGCTTTTCCATATTTACTGTTAGAAGTGAATGCTTACATTGTATATTGTACTGTGCAAACTTTTGGAAGTTTATTAAACTGAATTTAATATTTCAAGGCTATAGAAAAAATGACTGAAGTGACTATTATTTCAATTTTGACAAAAGGGAAACTCAGTCTCACAGTAGAAAAACTAATTGCTCAAGTCCATTCTGGTGGTCAATGAGAATGATGAAAGGTGGGACTCCACTATCCCACCGCTGACAGTCTGTGTGTTCGCACCGATGACTCACACCCATTACTCAACCACACACTTTCCTTTCAGGCCCCATAGCAGCAACACAAAAAGCACCCACGGAGCTGAACCTGGCCAAGAGCTATGATTAGGAAAGGGCGGGGAGGTACTGGGGCTTATGATTACTACTATGAGTTACACAGGCAGTTGGGCCCATCACAATCCAAACACCCATTGAGAGAGGCAAAACACATTTTGCCTTTTTAAAATAATGGTATTTATGTCAGCTCCTTCCGAGAGTAGGCTGCAAAACCTTTTCGCCCGTAACAGAGGAACTATGGCCCAAAAAGGCATGCAATTGAGTCTAGGGTTTGGGGAAAGACTACACAGAACAGGAAAGAGAACACCAAGAGGGTATACGAGCTTCTAGATGCTGGTAGATGCAGAACCTTTCCTTGACACCTTTCCATTTCTGTCTCAATGTTTTTCCTAACCTCCAGCGTGCCCTCTTGCCAGGTCTTACCAGATTAGGACATTGGCTAATCTCTTGCCAGATTAGCCAATGTGCTAATCTGCCTTCAACTTTGCCAGAGCTATTCCATTCAAACCACTAGTACCCCCAAACATTTCCATATTCCAAAATGAAATGCCTGTTAGAATTAACCACCCAATGAAGCTATAAATCTCTCAGCACTGCAGATCAATAGTCTCAGGAATAGATTCTAAAGATATGTGAGCATGCAAATGACCATAAACTACCCACACTATTAGAATCATGGATACTTTTACAAAAAAAGTGCTCCCGCTTCAAAGAAATGTTAAATACTACACAAGCTGAAGGGAAAATAACATAATGAAATACAAATTAGATTTTCTGATTAACCACGATGCTTATACAGGCAAGGCATTTTTATCTGAAATTCTCTTTTCAGGATTATAAATCTCAAATTGTTTCTACTTTTAAAATTATTTTTTGTTCAGCTTGTAAACCGCTGAGTTTCATAATGGTCTCAAGGCAGTTTAGAAGTAACACGTGCACACTTGTGGGTCACCTCTATGTCTGAAGATTTTAGGACATATCACCCACAGTTATAATCATTCCTACAGTGTATGTAAATATATGATATATGCGACACATATCTGATTACTCTTGGGTGCATATTAAGACTCAAAAGGAAGAACATCCCTTTAACATACACCTATTCCCTAATTTTCTTTTCTGTTATACTACTTCATTCTCTTCCTATACATGCAAAAGACTTCATTTTACATATCAAGAAATTACTAAAGATAACCCAGGAGTACCCCCAAATATGACCATCTCTTCTTAGAAAACCAAAAATATCCTTGGGATTACCTAGCCACACTGACCCAGTAGTTGAAGCATAATATTTTAACCTAAGGAGAAATTTAACAATATTATGCTCTGAAACAAAAAAGGGAATAAACAAAAGGGATATGTGTTTTCATCCATCTATCTAAAGAGACATCATAATTCAATGAGCAGCACTGAATTTTGTATTTTGTATTTTCTTATAGTACTTTACTTTTTTCTTTTTTTTTTTTTTTTGAGTCATACCCACCAATGCTCAGGGAGTACTCCTGGCTCTACACTCAGGAATGACTCTTGGCAGTGAATTACTTCCAGCAGTCCTTGTGGAACCATATGGAATGCTGGGGATTGAACCCTGGTCAGCCACATTCAGGGCCAATGCCCTACCCACTAGACTATCACTCTGGACCCCTTTATAGCACTAAAAAAAAAAGAAAAAAAAACAAAGAGGGAACATTTCTAATCTATTAAAATCCTCTTCCAAATAAAAATCTAGGTACAATAACAATAATGAATAATGTAAAATTTTTTAATCTCTAGAATTCATCCAAGACTGAAAAAGTGATTTCAACTCTAAGCCCTAATCTCCTAACTTCCATGAAGGGTCATACTCATTTTGTCTTTCATGTGGCTCCTTGCAAAGTCTTGTACCCAGTGCATGCCCAGGACTGTCTCAGGAATAAAACAATGAATGTCTGTGACTTCACTCTAGGATTTCAGTTAGCATGCAGCTGGGGGACCATATGGAATTTGGCACAGTGAGCCTACAAAGCTATGAAGCTTCCACCTCACGCAGCATAAGATTTCATGAAACAGACTGAACACGGGACAGTCAGCAGTCAGGGATGCTCTAGTCTAGATCTAAGAAAGCAGTTCAAATGCCCTTCAGTTTTAGAGGTAATTCTCTACCCTTCTGACAAACACTTCAATGATGCAGCATGGGAAAACACATCAGATCAGAACTCTAATAAAAGTTCTGATCAGCATAAGCTAAGAACAACTAACATCTTTGCTCAAGCTAAAGCAAAGGATTAAAATTAAATAAAGGAGGGGGGAAGAGGAGAGAGAAACTAGAAGGACCTGGAATAACTCAAATGGAAAATGAAGTACTTACCAATTTGGCCAGCCTTGACTTTAAAAGGAACATCCAATTCACTCTTCAAAAGGAATAAAAACATATAAAGAACATTTCAGATATAATAATTTAATACCCCCCCGAAAATCACATTCTTATAATTCAAATACACAACCATTACAATGAAAAACATAAACAAATTTCCTTTACTTGGGTAACTCAAAAGACCAAGGAAATTTTTGAAAATTAAGTTAAATATTTTAATAATGAAGTCACAAAAGAAGCAAAATTACAGGTAGGAATAACTGGGGAAAGGGTTTGTAGTCAGAGAAAGTAACTGCGTAAACCAACTACTTAATTTAATGAGCCCAAAACAAACTGGGTAGAAATATCTTAATCTATAAAGTAACAGTTTGCTTCTCTGAATTACTAGAATAGGAAAAGAAAGTTTTTTACAAAACAAGAGACAAAACAATAAACAATTATCTCTCAAAGAAAAGACTTAGTGTATGAATACGGAAAACAATCTCAAAAGAATTGGCAGATTCCCAAGATATTTACCAAATTAATATTCACTTTAGTTACTAACAAGTATTGAGCATAATAAAATTTTACTTACCCATATTCTAAAACATCAGTAAATTGAAGTAACATTTTAAATTCATGTAATACTAAATAATAGCATTTTAAAAGTTTACTTCAGTTTTTAGAATTATTAAAAAATTAAACCATCGGATAGCATTTCTATTAGGTACGTATACCTTAGCTCATACTAGTATTACAGAAATCTGGTAACTAGGAGCCAGAGACAGCACAGGAGATAAGGTGCTTGCCTTGCCAACAGCACACCCAGGCTGGATCCCCAGCACTGCAAAGGACCCCCTGTGCACCACCAGTAGTGCTCCCTAAATACAGAGCCAGGAGCACACTCTGAGCACAGCAAGGTGAGGCCCACACCCCACCTCTCAACCACCACCCAAAAATTAAATCTAGTAATTAATAACAGAATTTTAGGTAACAATCAGTTAACATAATTAATTTACTTTACCATTTGCTTACCCAAGCAGTCTGGGAAAACAGGAATTAAGAAAATACTAATTATCAGCTTTAGTTAAAAGGCTTTTTTTAGACAAAACAAAAGGCATCCTCAGGGATGATGAGAATAGCTCTACCCTGGCAGAGGTTGGGAAGATAAACTCAAGGTCTTCTATTATGTCAGCTATAAACTAAACCATCCATTTCTAAGAGTGTGACCCAGCTGAGAAAGACTGGGCTAGACTGCAAGATCCATGCGCTCTGCACAAGGCCAGTCTGTTTTCACTGTAACGAGACCTCTGACAAGATCTCTGAAAACGCTCAAGACTCAAAATCCGCTCCCCTGGGTCTAGGCATGAAGCACCCAGGTGTACGGCACACAACCTTTCAAGAAAATCAACCAGGACTCTGAAGACGTTAATCAAACATACTGCAGGTGTTAATGAAATCCTGAACTATTAAAAAATAAACTCACTCTTTTTTGTTCTATTTTGTGCTATACCCAGCAGCATTCAAGGCTTACTTACTCTTGGCTTTGTGCTCAGGGATCACTTCTGGTGGGACTCAGATCATAAGTGGTACCAAGATTGACCCCCGCTGGCAGCACACAAGATAAATGCCTTATCCATGTACTATCTCTCCAATGGCTCCTAAAATTATTCTTAAATGACTTAAGTCAAATTAAGCCCAACTGTCTGGGTAGAGGCTTAATAAAAGTACGAGAGGTAGGAAATACTTTGTTTCTATCTTAAAAACAAATGACAGTAAATTACTTTCTAGAGTCCAAAAAAATCTATTTTATCTCCATATCATTAACCATCAGTGCAACACAAAAAATACTGTGATAAACTACTATATCAAGTTCTAATGTATTAGAAAAATGTAAGTGAAGGAAATCTTCAGAAAATTACTTCATCAAGACAAATATCTACTACAAAGCTTAACAGTTGAATTAGATCAAAGAAAAATATTTCACTCTAAGTAATACATTTTAACCATCAAGAAAAGAAATTCTAAATCTTTAATCACAATTTTTTATTTTTAGTAAGTTTTTAATATGTCCAGCTTAATCAAATGCTTAACTCACTGAATGATATTCTAATGGTCTCTAATCAATTATGTAATTCTTTTAAGGCTGTAGTTCTTTTTTATTTATTTTTCAAAGATTTTTTTTATGGAATCTCTGTGAGATAGACCCTTACAAAGCTGTTCATGATTAAGTTTGAGTCACACAGTGTTCCAACATCCATCCCTCTACCAGTGTCCCCAGTTTCCCTCCCATCACCACACCCACCCCCCAGCCTGCCTCTATGGCAGACTCCCACTCCCTCTCCCTCTCCCTCCCTCCCCATTTAGGCACTGAGGTTTGCAACACAGATACTTAAAGGTTACTGTGTATATCCCTTTACCTATGTTTAACTCTCAATTCTTGTCTGGCATGATCCTTTCCAACTTTATTGTCATACTGGTCTGTTGACTATCTTATCTACCTTCCACCCGACACACACTTGTGGTAGATTTCAACCACTGACTTTTTTTTTTTACTGAAAACAGTTAAGCAAGTAATACTTCTCTGAGTGATTTACTCACATTATTTGGTACCTGGTACCAGATTGCCTAGTATACCAGGATCCTAAGAACTAACAGGGTAATTGAACTATCAACACAAATAAAAAACAAACAAAAAAAAAAACTTACCAGAGCGTTTTCTTTTATCTGCAGATTATCTAAAGCCACATTTCCTTTTTTAAAAAAAAGAGGCAAAATATAAAATTAATATGATAATTAGTATAATAACAAGTATACATTATTGTGCTAAATTCTAAGTACTAAGAAACCAATTGTGAGCTTTAAGAAATTAAGCTGCTTCTGCCATAAGTTATGAATATATAGATAAGAATTATTAGTTCCCCTGGTCTGTCAGAAATGACCTCTCAGCACAGCGCCAGAAGCCCTGAGCACCACCAGGCGTGGGTCTCCCCACACCAGGGGATATTGTGCTACTAGGCTGAAGATATAGTGTGGGTGTTTGTTTTGCATACAGCCTACTAGGGTTCCATCACTGCCTATGACCCCCAAGCCAGATTCTGCAGATAGGCTAAGGGAGGGTTCTTGTCTTTTTCCTATGTTACAATTTAACACTTGCAGACCCTGAGCAAGGACCAGAAGTAAGCCTTCCACACTATCTGGGATAAATGAAACTAAGTGAGTGAACTAATGAATACATTTTTAAAAAAACATGAGTTATATGAACATTAAACATTTTTCCCTGACCATAACTCTGTTAAAATTAACCCTTGGGGGTTGGATGGCAGGCTGCAGATTAGGAGAACAGTGTACACTATGCAGGTGTAGGTTCTGGTGGTTTCTATCCCAGGAACCAAACAGAAAATAGTAAGTTCAAGTTTAAATTAAATTATAAAATGAATTACCCATGGGAACACCATTCAGCCCACAGTGACTGGCACAGACATTAGCGCATACTAGAAGAATACAGAGTCCAGCAGGCAAAATGCTCATCCAGAGACAAGCCAACTGCCTCAGCAGTTTGTGTTATTTGATGAGTGACACTCAACTAGTAGTAACTCAGGCATGCTGATGCCCGAGTGCTAACTCAAGGGATCCACATCAGATATGCACTTTTCACTAAACAATGGCTAAGGCACTAACAAAATTAACACATTCTACACAAAAATATAGCATCCTGACTTAAAACCATTTGTATTGTGAACGCTTACTCTTTAATAAGGTTAACTGGTGGGATTTAGGAGATGAAATATATGATAAATGCCAATGTGGTTAACAGAATTACATGCATTTAGAAAGACTGAATGGCACAAAGAGATAAGAGGGATGATCACTAGGAGACAGGATTAGGGAAGGGCATTTTCATTAATGCTCTCCAGCATTTTCTAGTTTTCATATCAATCAGGTATTACCCTTTTGTTAAATTACCATACGGGGGCAGAGACAGTTCGATGTGCTGAGCTCATGCTTTGCAGGCCTGGATTCTACCCTTGCCACCAAATGATCTCTCCACACACTGCTGGGAGCAACCCCCACGCACACTGCCCAAGGTAGAGCATTAGAGGGTAGAACCCCCACCCCCCAAACAACAATACAGTAATAACACAAACTGCAAAAGAAGTGAAATAAGAAAGAAGTTCTAAAGTCAAATACGACCTTAGTATGTTTTACATCAATTCCCTCTTATCTAATATTCAGTTCACCAACAGACACATTGAAAACACATCATGTCTGTTACTGGGTCCAGCAAACAGATATCTACTTCCTCTCTGAAAAGTGTGAATGCTATCTCACACAGAGTAAATAGAAAAAGGAAACAGGAATGACAGCATATATAAATTATTTGCACTAAAGGAGGAGCCACTAGCAGTAATAAAAAGAAAAAGGAAAGAATAGAAGCATAGTTCAGATTAACAGCAGGGCAAAAGTGCACTCACTCATTCATTCGGCCAACAAATGTCTTATCTCACTAAGTCACTGAGGTAAAAAAATATACTTCCATTAAACTCATGTTTTTCTGCCAGATACACGTGCAAGAGTTTCATTTTCTATTTTTTGAATGCCAGATATTAAATTAAATAGGAGCGATAGCACTGCAGGTAGGGCACTTGTCGTGCACGAGGCAGACCCGGGTTCAATTTCTCTATCCCCCTCGGAAAGCCTGACAAGCTACTGAGAGTATCCCACCCACACGACAGAGCCTAGCAAGCTCCCCGTGGTGTATTCAATATGCCAAAAACAGTAACAACAAGACTCACAATGGAGACATTACTGGTGCCTGCTCAAGCAAACTGACGAACAATGGGAGGACAGTGCTTAACTTATAAAGACTAAACCAAACCACTGCATTAAAAAGTCAATCTTTTAGGGGTCCAGAGTGATAGTCTAGCAGGCAGAGTGCTAGCAGATAGTCTAGCAGATAGTGCTGGCATGCAGCTTACAAAGGTTCGATCCCCAGAATGCCACAATGGTCCCCAAACCCACCAGGAATGATCCAGCAAAGCCAGGAGAGCGCAGAGACAGAGTAAGCCCTCGTTGCTGCTGGGTGTGGCCCAAAATCAAATAAACAACTCAACTGTTTTATGTTTAACTTAAAGTTGAGAGAAAAATCAAATTTTATCTTTTCTTTACCGTTTCAGGATAGTAATAATTACATGCCCATTTAAACAACTTTACTAGTGTGTCAGAAAACCTGGGTCATGAGCATAAGGAAGCCATGGAAAGTGCTCGAAAACACTGGAGGGTAAATATTTGCAACTAATCTCTAAGAAAACAAAGGAGGCGGGAACGAATGACTAATAGGAGCTGGGGATACTTATCTTTGCCAACAAGGAGGCACTAAGCCAGATATTTCTCTAACCCCAAATGTTCCAAGGAAGACAAAATGATAGACAGATAAAGACATTCTAAGAAGTGTCTTCTGTGAGGGACTAAACGGGCACAGGGACAGAAGGGGCAACGAGTGTGGTCCATGAGGCTCTGATTCTGGCCCCGAGGATCTTCAGCAGTAAGCTCGAAAGTCTTTGGACCAGAACACCTGGGCATGGGTCACACATAAAGTATCAAAGCCCACCTTGAAGGGAACCTAAGAGTGCCAGGCCCTGTAGTGATGCCTAGTTAAGGTCTTCACCTTAACTAGGCATCAAATTACAAGCCCTGGCACTACTGCAACCACGTGACCAGCCTTCCTCAGCCACAAACCCTGACTGTAGTTAATACTCTTAATACTCCAAGGTACCAACCAGAGGTAAAGAACTGCATAAGGGAGGAGGGGCGCAGGCACGAGATTAGGGACCAACCAGGAAACCAAGGAGCCTCAGGAAGGAAATAAGATCAGAAGGAACCCGGGGGGGGGGGGGGGGGGGGGGGGAGGCTCAGAAACACGGATCCATAATAACACTTCTTAAAAATGGCAATCTAAAAGGGTAAATCATGGATCAAATGTATCTAATAATCTCTGCTGGTAAACCAAAAGATGGAAATAAAAAGAAATCCATTCTGTGTACACTGGTGGAGGGTGTGTTCGATCATTGAATGACTGAAACTCAATCACGAAAGCTCCGTAACAGTATCTCACGGTGATTCAATTAAAAAAAAATAATAAAAAGAAAACTATTTTGTGAATGACACCAAGATAAAGAGAGCTGGAGTCATCTTTTAAAAATTAAAAAGAAAACAACTGGTTGCTACATAACAGTTTACAACCAAGTTAGCATATTTCTGAGTAAAAAACCGCATATTGGCAGAATACAGAACAATTCTACCTAAACCCAAAATTTTATGTTAAAAATTTTGGTGGCCTACAAAATAAATGTGATGTCAGCCATCCACAGTAAGAAATAATTTCTGTAGCACTCCCACAACACTGAACTCAAGGGTCTGATGTCCTCAGCTCCTCTCTGCCTCTCCTAGAATAGGGCTCAACAAATGTTGACATGATTAACTCAGAATGCATCTTGAGCATGCCTGCAGGAGCTGGGATGTGGCCTAGTGGTACCACTTGTCAAGTAGCAGTGCATATACCTTGCATGTGAGGTCCAGAACCACATGGTTCCCCAGTACCCACAACTCTAAGATCTCTGCACAGTTTAATCCCCAATGTCATCTGGAGGCAGGATATGTTTGTTAAGTAAAAGTAACCAAAGCTTCAGGCCAGGGCAATGGCTCACTAGGCCCCAAGTCAGAGCCCTGATCCCCCATGGTTGGGCACAGCCCCGGTCGCCCCCGCTGCACCTTCGGCTAAAGCAGCAGTGGGGTGTGGGCCATCATAGTGGCGCCCAGAACTCAGAGCCACCAACAGACAGGAGCTGAGGCCAGAAGGCGAAGGGGCTGACCTGCGGGCCCACGTCCACCCTAAGGCCCTGTCAGGGCTCCAAGCTTCGGATTCCCAATGTTCAGAACATCACCCTGTTCCCCAACAGAAAACACTGAGGATTTCCACCGGGAAGCCCTTTTGGCCCCACCTGGAAGAAAGCAGTCCTATAAGCTAATGCTTGCACAGGCCTCTGCAGCCAGCAGGAGCCTGGACAATCCAAAAGGTCTGTCTTTGATGCTCACATATGAAAGGTTAAAGAAATCCAAAACCAAAACCTCAATTGTTTTCATATACTACTTGAAAGATCATAACCAGGAGAGTAAATCCAGTGGATGTTCACATTCAGAGGACGGCCAGGAGCAAGAGCGCAGAAAAGAAAAAAAAAAAAGAATTTGGTGAGAAATGTGAGGGAAGAAGAAGAAGGAGGAGGAGGAGGAGGAGGAGGAGGAGGAGGAGGAGGAGGAAGAGGAGGAGGAGGAGGAGGAGGAAGAGGAAGGAAGGAAGGAAGGAAGGAAGGAAGGAAGGGAAAGGAAAGAAAAGAAAATCTATATTCCTCCTAAAAAGGCTAAAATTCACAAGTTATAATTTATTTACAACTCTTTCAGACCCTGGGGATTTTTAAACAATTCCCTCTTACTCTGTGGGTGAAAAAACTGAACACAGAAGAGGTTAAGTGGCTAAATCGAAGCCATATAATGAATGTAGAGCAGAGTCAAAATAGAATGTCTCCAGCCTTGTTGGACAATGATGTTCTTAACATAAATCAGAGAACCGTCCAAAACTGTGATTAGAAATTATAAAACTAACCGACAAACACAAAGGCCAAGTCCTAATCCATAAAACTCATGTTATAAATTATGAACACAGTGAGGGGGGGAAAAAAACCTATTGTGCTATGTA